CCGCGGCCCGCCCCCCCGGCCCCGCCACGGCCGCGGCGGCCCTCATATCCATGGGACCTGCTCATCCTCGCGAGGAAGGCTCCACCTGCACATCCCGAGCGCTACCATGGGCCTGGATCCACAGCGGAGCCGTCCCGCTCCGGGCAGCTGCACCCACGGGTGCTGCCCCCCAACCAGCAGCCTGGCACGTTTGGAATCGAGCCCCAAGCCCCGCGAAGGGCAGCGGGTGGCTGCGATTCTTCTTCATCCCAGCAGACTCTGCCCGGGGTTAGTGCAGGCGCCGATGGCTCGGTGAGGAAGGGTGAATTAGTTTGTCGTGCCAGAGAGGTGGAACGTTTGCGTATGTGGTTTTAGTCCAGAGAAAGGGCAGCAGGTAGAAAACACCGGCAACAGAAATCAGAGAGAACCAAACCAGGGTATTTCCAGAGGGACTGATCCTCCGAGGACACGGACGAGCGGTCGCTGAACCTGCGCCCAAAGAGCCAGGCCGCGTCTGGGGTTGGCCCGCGAGGGTGGAGAGAGAAAAAAGGGTCATTTACAGGGGGAACCGTCACGGGCACCGGAGCAGCATTCCCCACGCATCCAGGGAGCAAAAACCTCATGTGGGCACGCGAGCTGCTGCGGGAGAGAGGCCTGGGACCGCTCTGGGGACAGTGACGGGGGCCAGCACGTGCCACCCCATGTCGGGGACACCCGGGAGGCCTCGTCACACCGAGCTGGAGCCGTGGGGCTGCCCCGAGCGCCCCGGGCAGGAAACGTCCCTGCTGCTGCCCCAGGCGCCACCGGGAAGCCCCCGCGGTGCCGGCTCCGCTCCGGATCACTCCAGGCTTTTCTTTAGGATCTCCCTGCTTCGCTAATGCTCCACTTGCACCTTTGCGAGTTTGTTTTTGGAGCTTTGGCTTTTCACTGCAACGGATAATCCCGCGGAGAGGCCGGGAAGGCACCGCCAGCTCCTGATGCTTTGAACACCCCGGGCCCCGGCAGCCCCGCACGGGGCCAGCTCCAAACCCGCATGGCCCCAGCTCCTCCCGGGGCTCCGTTCCCGCTCCTTAACCCAAGGGCTGATCCTTAATCCAGGGGTGACCCGGGAATGGCAAGGGAGGGAAGTTCAAAACCTCACGCGGAGAGGAGGTAGCCTCAAGTCTTTCTACATCCTGAGCCCGTGCTCAAACTAAGGGGGAACTGCGGAAAAGCACTTCAATTTTCTCTATGACTTTTGTGACTCCAGCCCTCTCTATCCTCTTGCCTTTGTTGTAAAGGCTCAAATTCGGTGCGTTGAACAAAACAGGCCTATATAGGTTATTTTTTCAAGGCTTTCATATTGGCTAGGCAAAAAAAAAAGATTAGATAAAAACGAATCAAAACCCGTGCCCTGGTCTGCTTGCAGCGCTGCCATCACGTCTACGTGTGCAGCAATCAGCAGTCTCTGGCCCCATGGCTAATAAATAACTGCTCTTTGATCATTTAAAAGCCAGCTTAGTTAGCCTAATTCCTCCTCACACCTTCCAGCTACTTTTCCACGTCTGTCACAGCCCGGCACGGGACTCAGAGGGGATACATACACTGTATGGACATGGGAGACACGAGCTCTTCATCCAGATCGTCCACGTCATCGGTCATGATGAAGTGGGACGGGTTCGGCCGCGGGGTGCCCATCCAGCTCGGGTCGATGTTGAGGGCCGAGGCCAGCGTGTGGATGCCGGGGTTGTTGACGATCTGGAAGCCGCAGAGCATCTCGATCTGCTGCCAGCGGTGCAGCCGTTCCCGCAGCGCGGCCGTCACTTCGCTCAGAGCTTGTCTGCAAGCGGGGGCCAAACGAGGGAGAGGTGACGAAAGAGAAACGCAATAAACCGCCCAAAACGGGTCGTGCAGCTCCATGTCCTGACACTTGAGACGTCTGTCACTCCACAGGGACACAGCAACGATCCCCGGAGCCACGGGGGAAAGCGCTGGGAACACTGCAGCTTCTTGATTCCTCAGGAACATCCCTTTGGATGGGATTTTTAATTGCTCCCCACAATCATGATTTCAGTTTTATGCATATACAATTAAAAGAGTTTTAGCTAAAAGGAGCAATTTTAATCCCAGCAATATAAAGTCGTAGGATTACAGGAAGGAAGGGAGAAATGAGGGAAGATATAAAGTAGCTACTTACTTTGCCGTCAAGATTTTATGATCAACATCATCTAGAGACGAGCTGTGAGCAACGTGAAATGTTCCAAACAGGGTGTTTCTCTTCTTCTTGATTTTCTCAGCCTGGAATATTAACAGAGAAAGGTCACAGGAAGAACAAGACCTTACGTTTCCTGCAGGACAAGAACATCCTGAATGGGCTGTGACAGAAATAGCCCTGCAGCTGTTTTCACACATGCAGGCCGGAGGAATTGTCATTTTGCTGAAGGATGCGACTCCCCCCGACGCGGCCGAGCAGGAATCACCAGCAGCAGAGGAAGCAGCTTGCGGGTCTCAAGCTCCCCTTCTCCTCATTTCCAAACAGTCTCCGGAGACTGAACGAGCTACTTCCTAAGACTGTCTTAGGAAGCTTGTTTTGTCTTTCTCTTGGGTAAATTATCCAAGGAATACATTAATGCCCTACGGGTGTTTTAACCTTCCCTTTGGAGTTCAGATCTTTGGCTCACCAGATCGAGCGGGTTAACTTGAGACAAACCAAGGCCGTGAACACGGTGCCTGCCTCAACAGAAAGCAAACCGCTGACATGAGAAAATGTTTGGAATAAACCCAGAACAAGACGGACAGATTTTTCTGTGCCGTCAGCGCTGGATCCGCAGAGACGGGTGCATGTTACAACAGCTTCCCTGCAGCTTGTTATTTCGCGGTTGGCAAACCACATGTTCAGCAACTGGGAATGCAGAAGTGATTCGTAGCTGCAAATCACACGCGCGTATTAGAAAGGTTGTTGCCTTTGCAGGTGAAACACTTGGCAGAAAACGTTACTGAGAAAGGTGCAAACCTTGCTGTTTATTGAGTGCTTCCAGCAGAGACAACAACCAACACTCTGCATCCTCCCGGACTTCAGCCTAGTTAACCTTAATATGAAAATTAGACCCGACCGCGATGGGTCTTCCCAGGGCAAGCCCTGCAGGGCAGGGATGGACAAACGCTCGTCCTCAGTTGCACCTTGGTGGAAGTTTGTGCTGCGCTTTGAGGCTGCAGATGCAGGGCGATTGCGGTGACAAAGCGAGAGTGCTGTGACACGCTGCCATCAGGACGTTACAGCATGACTTTCACTTGGGAAAGCGACAACCACACGACATGATTTTCTCGGCCGTGCTGTGAGCTCAGCCTTCCTGCGCTTCATTGCAGCCGAGTGAAACGAGAGGCTGAACGGAGAGGGGAGGCACGGACGGAGCGTGCGGAGGGGAAGGGAACACGGGGACGCTGGGGAGGACGCGGGATAACGGGACAAGCTCTCACCCCCTCCTTGGCCACCAGCAGCTGCTTCTCGGCGTTCTGCTTCTTGATGTTGTAGTACTGGACCTCCACCTCGTGCGTGAGCTGCAGCCACTGCTGCAGCGCCTCGGGCGCAGCCCAGCTGCAGTGCGACTCCAGCTCCTTCTCGGCGTTCTTGAGGGCCATGCGCACCTAGGAGCGAGCGGCAGCGTGAGGACGCGGCCCGGCCGGCCCGGCGCTCCCAATGCACCGGGGAGCGGAGCGGGACGGCCTGGAATTCCCTCTTCTTCCCGAGAGCACGCGGGAGAGCATCCCGGGGCAGGGAGGCCTGGGCCTTGCTCTCCAGCACGGCAGAGCAGCCCGCAGCTCCCTTGGGAAGCGGCTCCCGCATTCCCAGCCGGACTCCTTTGCTTTCCCGTGGCTCCTGCGAATTGCGCTTTAGGCAAGAGCGTTGGCAGCGCTCGGCCCGGCCTCCAGCAATCCCGCTGCAAAACAGTTTCTTAACAGTGAGGGTGCCAGAGCCCTGGAACAGGCTGCCCAGAGAGGTTGTGGAGTCTCCTTCTCTGGAGATATTCAAACCCGCTTGGCCGCAGTCCTGTGCCACGTGCTCTAGGTGACCCTGCGTGTGCAGGGGGTTGGACTGGATGATCTCTAGAGGTCCCTTCCAACCCTAAGCATTCTATGATTCTATGATTCTATGAAACGCCAAGAAAGCGGGTGCCGAAGGTGCCGAACCCTTGGGCAGGACTCCGGAGCGCCAGAGCTGGCCAAGGACCATCCGCTGCCCTTGACCACGCGCTGCGCGGGGGGACGTCGCACACGTTGAACCTGACACAACCTCGATTCCCACCTCCCAGATCGCGCAGCCTCGAGCTAGCTGCAAACGGGCATTTTTTAAAACACCCTTCAGAGCGGGAGCTTTTTCCTTAGTGGGCTATTTAATTCGCTCCAATTTAAATCCGTCCTGGCTTAGCCATGTCAAACGCATCAATTATTTGGAAATTTCCTCTTTTATCTCGGGGCACATTGTGACCCAAGCGAAACGCTGCCTGAATAGGTGACAAATTTACAAACTTGGCATCACCGTTCTCAGGAAGGCCTTAATTTTCCCTTCAACATCATCTGCTCCAACCTCTCCTCTCGCTGCCCAGGAAACTCGAATTCCCATGGACAAGGGCCTGGGATTTGGGAATAGGCCAAGCAGACATTAGCCCCGAGGGGAGAGGGGTGCTCAAAACACATGGGAACGAGGTGTCCGGGAGCTCCGCGGAGGGCAGCGGTGCCCGGAGCAGCCGGGGCTCTCCTGCAAAACCTGCCGGGATCCCGTTCCGAGCACTCGGAGCAACTCGGGCCGGCAGCACGGGCTGGGCTCCTGGCTCAGGGGCAGAAGGACCCTATAAAGCCCAGTACAAATTGACCCAGTAATATATTATTTTCTAATATATGTGTCCCTGGCACAGCTTGTGTGCAGGGACACAGGGGCACCTCCACCTTGCTGGCGCGGTCCATGTGCAGCTGGACTCCAGCAGGAGATTCCCAACCCTCCGGTGCCTTTTGAGCAACAGCTCTCAGTGGATGCTCTGATTTGAGTCTGCGACCCCAGGGTATCTCAGAGGCTGCCGAGTCCCGAGGCCGGGGGAGTGACGGGTTAATGGTGTCGGTGTCCGGAGCTCCCTGCGGTGGTGACGGTTACAACCACGCGGTGTGGGACAGGCGGGCACAGCCGATACTCACCCTCCAGCGCAGCCCCCACGCAGGCTCCCCGGAAACGACAGAGTGGGTAAGTCAGCTCTGCCCTTTCCCACACAGCACGTGTAAAGTGGAGGAGGAAAGTGGAAAGGATGGGGCTCTGCCTTCTCTGCAAGGTCAGGACAAGGGCTCAGCGTCACAGCAGAAAGCGTACACGTCCTCACTGAACGGCCCACAGCACCAAATGATTGAATTGCTTTCTTTTTTTTAATGGAAATATAGAAAAACTTGAGGAAAAAATTATTGACAGTGAGGGTGGCAGAGCACTGGAACAGGCTGCCCAGAGAGGTTGTGGAGTCTCCTTCTCTGGAGATCTCCAAACCCGCTTGGACGCAGTCCTGTGCCACGTGCTCTAGGTGACCCTGCGTGTGCAGGGGGTTGGACTAGATCATCTCCAAAGGTCCTTTCCAGCCTTAATGGTTCTATGATTCTATGTCCAAATGCACGTTCTGAAATGGAGCTCAATGAGTTTACGGGTGTCTGCAGGACAAGATAGGAATGATCGAGGATCCAGAAAGCAAAGCTTACAAAAGGAGTCTGTGGATGGAGTGTCAGTATTCCACATGGGAAGGGAAGGGAAAGGAAGGCGAAAGGCCACTTGCTCTTTGTTGACTGTCTCTATATTTGAGGCTATCCTGCCCCGGGACTCATGCGTTACTGGAGGGCCAGGACAGATGTTTGTCACCTTGTCAATGCAGATCCCAGGGTCCTGTTTCATTTGCTCCTTGGTGGCAAACCAGACTGGGCAGGTGGGTGGGAGGAGAAGCTGAACGGCCCGACATTATCCAAGGGGCTTGGCCGGCTCGGGCAGTTCTGGCTTGCACAATTTCAGTTTAAACTGATCTATATATTCAAGTTCCCACGGGTAAAATAGGAAGGAGCAATAGGAACCATTCTGGGGACTTCCTTCGCAGGACTTCCTTTTAGACAAAACAGAGTTTTGAGGTGAAACCTGATGCTTTTATTTTGTCCTCTGCTACTGCAAACAGGTACCATTAGCATAGCCCTGATTTACATTTTTTAATCCATTGTATTAAAGCTTTTGTGCCTTTTATTTTAAATTTTGGGGGGTTTAGGTATAGGATTGCAAAGTCTTTTGTGGCCTCTGATCAGTTATTTTAATACCACACAAACGTTCTGTACAACCTTGTGGACCAAACACAGGTTTCTCTGTGGCCACAACATTTGCAGATATTTACAGACGCTCTTGCAGGCCTCTTCCAGGAGTATCTTGGGACTCAGGGTGACCGTTCTGGGGATTTGCGGATGAACTCTGAGCTGGAGAGCTGGAGAGCAGCTCTGTGGAGAAAGACCTGGGTGTCATGGTGGA